TTCCATTACATTAATATAAAAAAATTGCCTTATATATGCTGATATAAAAGCGATAGCATGTACTATAAAATATCGTGCACCCTTTTAAAATGCTTCCAGTTCTTTCATTAATCTACCGCACTCCAAAAAATGGACGTAACCTACAAAAATGTACTGAATGTTAGTGGGAAAGGCTCAGTAACATTTTTCACACGAGAATGACGGATGTCAATGTACAGGTTTTACCGTATTACAGGGACAGACCAGCCTCATGACCAATCTGCATAAACATTCATTCGCTTCCACTTCAAGGAATGGGACAGTTGCTCAAGACAACTTATCCTTATTTGTCTTGTACAGTGCATTTGAGTAGTGACTGACAAGCCCACTGCCTCTTCACAATTTCTACTCAATCCCGATATGTCTGCTAGAGCCATCTAGTGAGAATCAGGAGAGACATTTGTGAGAAATGGCCGCTGAATTTTGCTTGCGAAACATCAGTCTGCCTAAACGCGTAATTATTAATAAACCACATGAATTTATGAGACGTAGAATAGAATAAAAGAATGGCCATAAACAGTTTAATTGGTAATGATAATACCCATTTCAAGGCAATTCCAAAAAATTTAGTAGTAAAAACCAAAGCAAATTACGCAGAAATTCCGACTATTTGCTGTTCCAACCATTATCATCGGCATACTATACGTCCCAAACGCTGGAATAGTACTAACAAATGACTCTCGAAACAAACTTTTTATTCTATCTCATAACTTAATAAGAAAATGAGTAAGGACGTTCACTTGCTGAAAGATAAATAAAATGTCTTACAGATCAGATGAGCTTGTCATTTATGACGTATTTTAAGTGGTTGCTGAAACATAAGTTTCCTCCACGCACCAGCTCTGAAATGACACTGGAAAGAAATTCTGTGACAGAAAAGTTATACACAATGGACTCTTTCAATAGTTAAACATTAACCATGGTTTGTCGTTGAACAAATTAAAGCAGAGGGCAGGCCTGACAAGAACTAAAAGTGATTCTGCCTGTCTTCCTTTCGAATAATTTCAGACAATGCAGATGAAGTGTACGGGCGCAGGAATGTCAGAACTGTAATTTGATGTGCTATCTTTTAATGTTAACTGTGTCTGCTGCTTGACTTATCGCTCTTGACAGAATTTCACGGCTCAGCCCCAACTTCTTAAAAAAACACCTTAAATAGAATTCCTTTTGAGTTTCATACTTTTGTAATGATGAAAAGGGCCACTAGTCAGATACTCCCATGATGAAATTTCCTTTATTTTTAACAGATGTACTGGCGTTTGGAGAAACTTACCACCTCCATTTTCTGGGTTCCGCCACAAGCAATCAGATAATTCCAGTCGGTATCCTGATACATTTCTTGAGGAGCTATTTTATATTCACCTTCCATCTGCGTCTAGTTCTTCCATGTGGTTTCATACCTTCAGAATGTATAAGTAAAATTTTGTATGTAATCCTCACCACTTCTATGCGTGCTACGTGTACTTCCCATCTAATTCTCCATTATTTTATCACTATAATAATATGAGATGAAGAATACACACAAATAATTAAAATCATTTTTAGGATAAGCAATTTTCTCCATTGTGCTGACGTTTCCTGCCATCTAAATATTCCTACTTCAAAATATATTTAGGTATACGTGCATGACGAATTTATAGGAAAAGTATATCTACCCTCCATTCTCATTCGATTTACATATAAACGGATTCAGAAACACGCCAATAAAATAACAGAATACAATAAGTTAATTACACCCATTAATATGCAAAACGTGAGGAAAACTGGTCTGAATCTCACATGTTCTAATCACTCTGTGCTAAACAATCTTTTTAAAATTCCGTTTCATTTCCGGTAATAGAGGTCTATGAATTAAATTTTTCACTCGACAACCGCTAAAGATATGGTTCTCTTGTCTTCTTCTATGTCTATTATAAAAATTTGTGATTCCTCGTTGGCGTCAATAAATTACGTCATCAACAATGTCAACTTATGTTTGTTTATACTCGGCATTGTTGTGTTAAACACAACAATGCCGAGAAAACAAATAATGATTCACAACAAAAATTATCAAGCCAGTCGCATGATCTCTGCTCCAGAAGCAGCACGTCGCATTCTTGAATATTGACTGACAGTTGGCCTAAAACATCAGGAAAGTGAAAGAAGACGTTATCAACTATTTGAAGTATCAACTCTAACAAATCCAACAAGGTAAACTGATACTCATTCGATATATTACGATTAAGAAAGTATTATGAAAAGTGACTTTTGATCGATATTAAGACGAAGATTTGCAAGGGTGGGGCTGGACGTCGAAAGTTGACTAACCAAGAACTGTTGGCCTCTGAACAGCGACGTAAAAATTTAAACATCATACCTATCTAACAAATAAAGAAAAGCGAAAGGAAACTTACATTGATAAACGTAGAAAAACTTATTCAACAAGAGCAGAACAGCAGAAGAAAACAAACGAAGACGTTCAAGAGTGGGTTTGAACGTAGAAAGTTGACTAACCAAGAACAGTTGGCCTCTGATCAGAGACTTAAAAAGTAAAATATCAGAACTACTTAACAAATAAAGAAAAGGGAAGGGAGACTTATATTGATAAACATAGAACAACTTATTCAATAAGAACAGAAGGGAAAATAACAACCGAAGATTTGCAAAGATGGTGTTGGACGTAGAAAGTTGACTGACCAAGAACAGTTGGCCTCTGAACAGCGATGTAAAAACTTAAATATCAGACCTATTTAACAAATAAACCAAAGCGAAGGGAGACTAACATTAATAAAGGTAGAAAAACTTATTCAACAAGAACAGAAGAGCAGAAGAAAAACGAAGACTTGCAAGGGTGGATTTGGACGTAGATAGTTAACTAACCAAGAACAGTTGGCCTCTGAACAGCGACGTAAAGAACTAAAATATAAGACCTACTTAACAAATAAAGAAAAGCGAAGGGAGAATTTCTTGCAAGGTTGGGGTTGGACGTAGATAGTTGACTAACCAAGAACTGTTGGCCTCTGAACAGCGACGTAAAAATTTAAACATCATACCTATCTAACAAATAAAGAAAAGCGAAAGGAAACTTACATTGATAAACGTAGAAAAACTTATTCAACAAGAGCAGAACAGCAGAAGAAAACAAACGAAGACGTTCAAGAGTGGGTTTGAACGTAGAAAGTTGACTAACCAAGAACAGTTGGCCTCTGATCAGAGACTTAAAAAGTAAAATATCAGAACTACTTAACAAATAAAGAAAAGGGAAGGGAGACTTATATTGATAAACATAGAACAACTTATTCAATAAGAACAGAAGGGAAAATAACAACCGAAGATTTGCAAAGATGGTGTTGGACGTAGAAAGTTGACTGACCAAGAACAGTTGGCCTCTGAACAGCGATGTAAAAACTTAAATATCAGACCTATTTAACAAATAAACCAAAGCGAAGGGAGACTAACATTAATAAAGGTAGAAAAACTTATTCAACAAGAACAGAAGAGCAGAAGAAAAACGAAGACTTGCAAGGGTGGATTTGGACGTAGATAGTTAACTAACCAAGAACAGTTGGCCTCTGAACAGCGACGTAAAGAACTAAAATTATGAAAACTGACTTTTGATCGATATTAAGACGAAGATTTGCTAGGGTGGGTTTGGAAGTAGTTAGTTGACTAACCAAGAACTGTTGGCCTCTGATCAGAGACTTAAAAAGTAAAATATCAGATTACAGAAAGCGCTCCGAAAGGATTAGTCGTCGTTGTCGTCAAGAAATGACGTCATCAACAATATCACCTTATATTTGTTTATACACGGCATTGTTGTTCCACAACAATGCCGAGTAAACAAATAACGCTGAGTACCAAGCCGGTTGCATTATCACTGCTCCATATCGCCTCCGAACAGCGACATAAGACTATTTAAGAAATGAAGAAAAGTGAAAGAAGACGTTACCAACACCAAAATGGTAATCTGATACTAATAATAATATTCATACAAGTCATACTGTTCTTCAAGGGTTAAAACACTTGAATAAGACACTAAATTAACACCCCGAAGGGGGTTAGTGTAGTGTCTTACTCAAGATTTTAAACGCAACCAACACCCCGAATGGGGAGTTAATCAAGTGTTTTAACCTCCAATTCGAGGGTGAGGGTTAGTTTAGTTTTTTACTCAAGGGTTAAAACACTTGAATGAGACATAAACTAACCCTTCCGAAGGGGGGTTAGTTTAGTGTCTTACTCAAGAATTTAAGGTTCGTCAAGTATTTTAACCACCATTCAGGGGGGTTAGTTTAGTTTCTCACTCAAGGGTTAAAACACTTGATTGAGACACTAATCTAACCCCCGAAGGGCAGTTAGTTTAGCGTGTAAGTTTTCAAAACGCAACCAACTCCCATTGTTTTAACCCTCAATTCGATGCGGTTACTTTAGTTTCTTACACAAGGTTGGTGACGTTTTACAAACTTGACCAACACTCCCTAGGAGCTCCGAAAGGAGCGCCCTGCTCTAGTATGTAAAAGTTTTCGCAAGAACACTGTTGCAAGTACTGACAATTGTTTATGTTTTCTTTTCTGAAATAGGCTTGCTAAAATGAACATATTTGTTCTTTCAGATTTTGCTGACTTTAAAATTCTGAAAATAAGTTATGTAGCACGCTTTTCAGTTACCCTGTGTTAACTCTTTTGCCAACTGTAACTACGTGATTGTGACAAGGAACACACCGGCCACTTGGTAGAACAGAGTGAATTGTGGGTAGACAAGCGAATGACAACATAAAGTAAGGCTGACCAATTACATTGCTTATGGAAGCAAACATGTTACGGCACGCTGTACTGAAATGGTTGCAAGGGTTAAACAGATAAAAAATTATTCGTGTGAAGTCTATTGATCATAAATAAAATCACGATTTGAAAACAAGTTGCTTGGTCACTGCAGCAGTTCACTATAGCACCACAGCCTTTACAGAACTGTTAAAAGTGACTTACCTCAAGATGTTTTGAATACTGTTGCAAATAACGTCTCCTGGTAACAAATTTCGCACTTCACTTGAAACTAACACAAATACTTCTCTTCTGATTGGCGACAGATTTAAACACAGATTGATAACTAATAATACGAGCACGTTACAAAACCCGTATATCGCAATTGAGTCCCGACGCCATACCTTTCTCATGTCATACTGTGACCACTCACGGAACAGGAAATGATAAGTGGGGGCAGTTAATACTTCCTAAAATTACGAAACAGGCCAAGAGATGGCAGTATGCCCTTGGAGATGACAATCTGAACATCGTAATCTGATCGGAGTGAAAAGAGATACCAGATTTACTACCTATCCCTGACGTTTGTGCGGAAAAGCATATACATTTCGGAGCACAGTTCTCAAACGCGTTCTTCCTAATTTTTCATACATGCATATCTAATCTTGATGATCATTTGTAGCAGGTTAAAACATATTATTGATATCAACAATAAAATTCAACGTAGGATTGATTCGTATTTTCTTAAATAAAGCAGTCTATTGAGAAAACTGTAAATAAAATTTATGAATTACGCAAACATACTTGACACAAAATATATTTCTTTAAACGCCGTTTTAGGCGTGTTTCGTAAAAAACACTGGGAACTGCCTGTTAATTTTATCATAGTAAGAGCATTTAAACTACTGGACCTATTATGATTAAACTTGGATCAGTAGATATACACTATATTTCGTTTGTGGATTTTGATTCGGGTTTGATTTAGTTAATTTCAAACATATGTCAGTAAAGAGCCTTATTTAACACTAATGAATATTAACTCTTTGACTCTCGGTGAAACTTTGTAGTAGACACTTCTGATGGCGCCAGCTGCTTGCGTTATATTTTTCAAGTTATTCGACAATTTATTATGAAACTGGGTATAATTTACTTATAACTTGTTATATGGCTGTTGTCCCGTATCAATTCATACATTTTTACTTGTTTTAAGTTTCACGTTCGTTAAAGGGCTAAATGAACTTCTGATAATTTTACGGCTTTTGGTAAAACGTAATATGTCGTCGGTTACAGATTTACTTCCATGCATAAGTTTGGTTTATTTCAAGGGTTATGTATTTGAAGTTACTTCATAGGTGTTAATGAAACGCTATATACGGCTTCTCTGCCCTAAAAGAGTAGCCTCCTGTCATTACAACAACATCAACAGAATATTTCTGTTAGTAGCAATTATAATGACGACCAGGGACTTAAATGCAGGAAAAGGCACAACTTTCCAAACGCCATGTAAGTTAATTAGCCTACAATGTTCAACATAATTACTATGTAGACCAGTGGAACTGAATTAACGAAACGGTTATGAGGATTCCGACTTAGAGCGTCTTTCTAGAACAAGGCAAAGAGCTTGGAAATGTTTAAACAATAAAGGAAGTGTAGAGGAATGAGAGAGGTCGAATGAAGAGAGTAGCAAGTGAAGTAAGAACTAAAAAAGTAGCATTTAAGGCAAAGAAAATAACAGCAAATAAAACAATCAAGGTTTAAAACCCCATAAAGTATCGTAAACTGGTTACTAACATCTTATGATCTTGCAGACTAAGATGTCAACATATACCTACAAATTATCTTAATATATGTCTTGCTAGTTCAATTATCAAATAGCTTTTGTCCGACTTTATTATATATTAGTCTATCATACGCAGAGCCAAAGCACAATTACTCTATCTGCTTATTTCGAGAAAATAGTTTTTTTAATACGTAATTGAACATCGAAATGGTGTTTATTAATATGTTCACTGTTTAATAGTAGGTACTGAAGAGAAGACAAGAAAACAGACAATCATTTAAGGGCATGATACAAAAAATTCCTACCCTGCATGTAAACAGAGGAAAGTAGATTAAATTATCGTTCCTATAAAACGATTCTAGTGTCATCAATCTCTTACCACCAAAACTGTTTCACAGGGTCTGCTACTTACACCAGATTACGAGATATTTTTAGTAAGTCTTAAAACAAATTTATTTATGCTCTTTTCACTTTATTGTATCAATTGAATATGTCGTCGTAGTGGAAAGGCCAAACTGCGAAATCATGGCAAAAAAATTATTCCCTACAGATACGTTTAAAATTCTACTCTTCATCACGATTTAAATCTTTAATTAACAACCCGTGGCCCTCAGAACTTATTTATGCGGCTCGCCACATGATTTTAAAATCAGTTAGAGTGAGGAGGGTATTGATACTAAAAACGTTGATATATAGTGTAAACGCAAGGGCGAAAAATTACAAAAAAATACAGTTTGATTAAACAAAAATTATGTAGGCGTAGGCCTATAATATTAATATCGCGTTACTGCGCAAAGACACATTTTTCCGTTGATCAGATCATAAGGAATTTAACAAAACAACTTGAAAATTACAGTGGTATTAGTAACTGAAGTGTCATAAAATACTGAAATGTTTTTGAAATCAAAACTGGTTGAAAGCTACCAAACAACGTACTTACATTAAACTAAGTTATATGGCGAAATACAGGTTTTGTTTTCAAGTAAATAGGACCTACACTTTTAAAATAAATAAATACATATAGGATTTCAGATCTTCGCGGCGAGTACCACCAATAAAATCTTCTTGGGAAATCAGACGCGTCAACTGGTTATTGTAGTAAACCGACGTTTCGGGAACCAACACTGTCCCCATCATCAGGGTTCTGGTGTGACTAGATACCTCGAAAGTCGCCTGTGTATATACCTGCCCGGGACCAGTGTGGTCGATTTACTACGGTAACCAATTGATGCGGCTGATTGCCCGAGAATATTTTATTAAATGAATACAGTTTCGCCCACTTTCCAGGATATTATTAGATTTTGGCTGGACTCTCGACAAAGATACAAACAGCCAATAGACCCACTATAACGAAAATGTTGGGGACCGCTGATTTAAAGGATTCTGGGTTCAACCAGTTTCATATCAGAGATTTTTCTTTATCACTTTAGTGTACTTAAGGTATTAAGAAACTTTACATCCACGGTGTGATATGCCTTCAAGATTTAATTGTACCTGTCTTTTATCGTAGTATAAATTCCAAAGTTAAAAATTATTTTATTTAATAACGTTGAAAATAGGCTTCGTGCGTCAGAATTTTATTTAGCTGCAAATATTTATAACACAGAGACAAGTGTACACGAAGGCATTTCCGATTCCTCTATTTTGTTGCATGCGTTTGCTGTTTCTCCATATCAGCCCATTACACAGATTAAATTGAACCGAAGATAATCAATAGTTATGGAAGCAGATCACCATATCGAAAAATGAAACGTGACAAAATACAGACCTCATTATTGTATATGACATTTTAAAACCGAAACATTTTTCTATGAGGTAAATATTTAATTAAATAAAATATAAAATAATATCTGGCGCTGTGCAGTGTGATTACAGTTGCAACAACAGAACTGTATGTGCAAAAGTGAACATAAATGCAATAATAAGGTATGTGGAATCTCAAAGAAGGCATTCTGAAGACATCTGTACTCGAAATGAGTACACGTTTATGTTCTTATTTCCTGTTGTGAAGGAAACACAGATAGAAAATGCCTACTTTGACAAACATGCTCTATAAAGCAGCTTAACTGAAATAAGGCGAGCAGCACCAACAGAGTACAAGGAAGTGGAGTGTGTAAACACGTCTGGAGCGCAGTATCTGCTTCACAGGTATCACCTGATCGATTCCTGAGACCAGCTACAGCGGCAGAAATTATTCATGGATTTCCTCATACAGCGAATTGGACTAATTGGACTGCGTTTAATGAACGCGGTTTTGGCGAGGAGGTTTTGGGAGGGGGGGGGAAGTGGTGATAGAATCTAAAACCTTGCTATAAGGCAACCTTTTTCTTTATAATTATAAATTTTACATTGTTGAAGTTGTTCATTATCGTTGATTCTACACGAGTTTGGAAAGGAGTCTTACACAAACAATAAATCAAAGATAATGAGACTCAGAATTTGTGTCCATTCAATCCACCTAAAATCTAATCTTCTTATCCACTGTGCAGGTGAATGGTCAGCTTCAAGTGGTTATCCCATTCAGGATGGTCATGGACGTAAATATGAACTGCGACACTGGTGTTGAGTCTTTTTAGGATAATTTGTCTAAACAAATGCAAAATATTATTTATCTAACTGTTTCATTGTATGGTTACTAAGTTTTTAATGGTTCGGGATCAGCTTCACAGATTATATTTAGAGTTGAATAAAGTAAGATGAATACCTACAGACAGTGGAAAAAGTGAGGACGAAATATTAGTAAACTACTTCAAGCTGATGTTCCGCTCTAAAACATTTAACTTCCCGTCTCCTATTTAAAGCCTACGGATATAAATATACAAACCTCTAATTTTATCTGTTATAAATGCAAGTTCACAATATATACGTGAAACTTTGTCTTCGCAACAAAGCAAGTACAAATTGAGAGTGATATCATGGTGTTAAAAAGAATATTCTCTCCATAGAGAGTAGAAGAAACAGGACAATGGAGACTGTTTCATAATTGGGAGTTTAATAGTTCGTACTGCTCAAAACTGAGATTAAGACTGCAGAGTGGGGCAACAGGGGAAAACAACGGAACTGCGAAGAGACGATAAGGCGCAAGAAATTGACCTGAGAGACTCACAGAGATCAAGGAAGAGTGGTTGGTACCATGCCAAGAGCAGAACGTGGCTTTAGGCAGAAGCCACTTTTCTGACTTCACACGCAGGCAATGCTCTGTGTAGCAGTCAGGAGTTATTCGATTCTAAAGTCCATTACAAAGTTCGCAATTTTCTGCACATTTATTGACGCTGCAGTTGAAGGAAAGTGGAGAACGAGAAGAAGAAAAGTTATAAAGGAAGTGGATGGCGTTAAAGACAAGGAGGTGAAGAATCGATGAATAGAGAGGAATGGTAAGAACAGTTTCTGAGAAAAAGAGTAGTTAGGCCGAGAAGAACATCCAGGGACGATTAGGATAAGAAATGCATTGCATTCTGTTTCCAAGAAATGATCATCACAGACGACCCATTGGGAAAATATTATTTGGAGTTAACTTAATGCCAAACCATTAGATAAAACTTTAAAACATAATGCACTCGATGCAATGTTACATACAGAATGGTGCAAAAAATCAGAACACATTTGAAAAGAAAAAAACTTATGAATATTTGTTCATTGATTTTATCAGTGAATCTAATTAATTTCCATGTCTATCCATAAAAATATATTTAAAAGCTCATAAATTAATAAGCATTTACTTTAAGTATTATAAATGACCGCCATTGAAGGAAAGCCAGTATGTTCTGACTTTTGAACCTTTCTGTGTATTGTGTTCGACCATATAAATTATTTTCAGGGTCCCGCGGGCTCGGTCCCGAGGGGGGCTAAAATGAATATGGGATTTAGATCAAAGAGTGATAGTCCCTTATCCTTTCACATTCCGATACGAAAGAACTTCAGGTACAGTACAAGCTGGGTTTATGACCGGTCAGATGTTCTAAAAGCCACCATTCTCAGACGCAAGCAAACGGGCCGCTTGCCCGCAACCAAATACTGCCCCTAATATGCACTAAAAACCCTAATTTGGTTTTCTTAAAACACTTTGATTACTAGTATGGTTTATATGTTAGACAAATTACAAAACTAATAAAACGACATATGTAAACCACCAAAAGTTCATTTAAAAAATAATTTATAACGCTTTATCTATCCCGCTTTATCTACATGATAGTCAAAGCTAAATAATAAAAACCAAAGAACAATTAAGAATCATAGAGTTTTGTGATTAACTCATGAGACGGATACCGAATTGTATATTTATATAGAATAAAGATTTGGATGAATGTTCGGAATTGATAAGCCCGTCAGAAAGATATAGTGTACATTTTATTATAAGTTTAATTTCTTAATTAATATAAATTATTTAATTTTGGGCCTGCTAAGACTTAGCGTTTTTAGAATATTCTGTCAGTAAAATGATTCAGTCCGTCCAGGCAAATGTCGTAATAGTACATTAAATTAGACCACGATCGCTTCCTTCCACATCCTTTATAATTCATTATTCACTAACATTCTCTCATTCGATGCAGTCTGAGCTATTGAAGAAGGCGTCGTTAAATAAAAGGCTAAAAATGTAATTAAATGGTTTTGCCCATAAGACGGAGTCGTGTTCAAAATATTGACAGTTTGGAGTACAGAAATAAAACACCTGGATTTGAAGAATAATGAAACATGTGGTCATATTACATGCAAAAAGATATAGTAATATTGTGTCACAAGAAGGATATTAAAAATGCAAGGAACTTGTTTAGCTTCATTTTAGCAAAGAAATTATATCTTAGATTCCTGAGTAATAATCGAATGCTTACAGATTGCCTTTTGTGATACTTTGAGGGATGCGTATTGTCATATAATAACCGAGCTTTATACAGTTTAAATTATGATGTTTTACAATAACGTTTATGTTACCCATGACAGATTTTGGTCTGTTGTGCTTACGTTTCGGAGTCCTTGGCATGTTGAATGCTTGGACAGAGGCCGCTCTTATTGTCTACTAACCCGGGACATTTCAGAAATTCAGTATTGCCAATGATTCACTTTTCAGTTAATTACAAATACTGTTTTTTTACAACACTTCACGGTGTGGCAAGTAGAAGATAACCTGTGATGAAGAATTCGTAACTCTTTGGTCATGGTATCTCGAAAGCGTGTCGCGACTGAAGCAAAACATTCGTAACTGGCAAGGCGCCTTCAAAATCAACGTGACTGTGATGACTATCAGCTGATTTGTCCATATGGTGCTGCCACCTTTGAAAGTTCCACTCGTAACGCACTATAGCATTTTCATTGTTATTTGTGTGGGTAAAGATGGCAGCTGGATGTTGTGGGACGAAGAAACAGAAGCTGAACAATTCTACTAGTGTAACATGTAATGGCACTTCGCTTATTCCAAATGGTGTGCGAAATGGCATGGTTGCACATCCAGAAATGTGCTTCTTCTGTTTTGATGTGTTATACTGCCATCTGCATAGCTTGGATCCACCAAAAACTCCAAACTTCTGCAACGATCCCTAGTGAGTAGCTGTTTTCAGTACAGATTCTGTTTCATGTGCGGGGCGATAACGTCATTAATTTCATGTAAGATAAGACTACATTGGAATTTTTTATAATTGGAGTGCAGTTGTTCATTATCAGTTACTTTCTTTTTTGTTTAATATGTTACGCTGTGTGGAAAGTGGGTCATTTATGGTTTTCAAGGTTAAAACCTGATTGGTGTCTTTGTTTGTAATTAATAACGTAAACATGTGTAACACAAGATATACTTGTCATGCAGCCTCTTAAATGTGATTTATGGTTACATATTTATGGAAAACCATAATTATTATTATTATGTTTAATTTTATATTTTAATTTGTATATACAGAAAGTAACTATTTGTATTTAATTAGCTATTAAATGTTTTTCACTTTACAGCCCCCTGTTTGTGACATGGAAGATTGGAAAGGACAGGCGGTTGCGAGGCTGTATAGGCACTTTTAATGCTATGAACCTCCACTGTGGATTGCGCGAGTATGCGGTTACCAGGTGAGCAGGGCTCTCGGCCTGGTTTACCCACTGGTCTGTTGGACATGCTACTGCTTTCCTTTGATATGCTTCTTTAAATCTATTGACTCCAACCCATACATTCCACACCCTTCTGAATATAAGAAAGGTAAGCAGAATGTCTACCACCAAAGTATAGATATGGGAAACCAGCAGAGTTCTGTAGTAGTTCTTCTTCACCATTAATTTGGAGGTGATGTAGTTTTAAAGGTGTTCCATGCAGCCTTGTAGCATGCCTGACTTATTTTATCTGCACATATTAACAAACCGACCTGTTGAAGAGATGGAATTGTACCTTGATGCTGAACAGCAAGGATCCACAACATTTTACAGCATTTCAGTTATCTAGATGAGCAGCATTAATGTGAGGTGTATTATATTAGAAAAATGAAAAACTAAATATTTCATTATCTGTAAAATTTGTTTGCATATAATACTGTTGCCAAAAGTTCATCTTTAAGCACATATCTTGCACATTTTTGAATATTTATGTGTTATATTGGTTAGACTAATTTCTTTCTTGCTTTCTTTATTTGAAAGTGCATTCAAGGACTCGCGCTTCAGCCCAATTACTCGGGATGAGTTCTCCAAGCTTCATGTGTCAGTGTCGATACTTCGCCATTTTGAAGATGGCTCGGACTACTTGGATTGGGAAGTGGGTGTCCACGGGATTCGGATAGAATTTCACAACGAGAAAGGCAGTAAACGCACTGCTACCTATCTTCCAGAAGTGGCGCCTGAACAAGGTACTAGAGATGCTTTCTAAGGTTTTTAAAAGTCAATAGAAATTGGTAGTCTTATACCTTGGCACTGAACATCATACATTACCTTAGGCTGGGACCAGATCCAGACGATTGACTCACTACTGCGGAAGGGTGGCTACAAAGGTACTGTGACACCTGATATCCGTCGCACAATCAAGCTGACTCGATACCAGAGTGAGAAGATCTCGGTGAGCTATCAGGACTACTTGAATCACTGGCGTAATCGGCGATGCTAGCAGATACTGTGGGGCCCCCCTGGCCCCAGCAGCGGTGCAGTGGTGTGGAGTGCACCGCACCCAACTGTGCCTCTGCATCACCCGCCTCCCCCCACACTGGTGCTACCACCAGCCCCCACGTTGCACCAGTCTTTCCCTGCACCATCAACCTCTTACGTGCCACAGTCTTACGTGGTGCCACCCTTGCACCCACTTCCACCACCGTCATCAGTGGTACACTGGTGGGACCAAGCAGCACCAGGGCCCTCAACTCTTTACCACCTCCCTTCCTGTTCAGGCAGTCAAGATACTGCCAACTTTCCTGCACACTACTCCCATCACCAAGTCAGGAAACGAAAGTGATGGGCGCTTTTTGATGCGAAACACCACATACTCAGACCATATGCCTGGTATTCTTGACAGTTTAATTCTATGCAGTATAACAGCTTGCCATAATACAGCCTATGTATTGTGGTATGTATCCTATTTGATTTAGTTATTAAGGTACAGAAAATTATCTAACATACCACAGGATGTCCGTTATGTTCCAGGAGAACAATTTATCAACCAGTGAAAACCTTAGAGAACCAAGGAGTGATGATCTCACAGAGTGATTATAATTCCTAATGTACTTGCATCTAACAAACAGTGGTAATTATGAAAGTCATAAAGTGTATTATGACATTCATCAACAATGAGTTTCCTCCATTTGGGAATGTTTCTCACGCAACCCTTCATGTTGTCGGAGGACATTCATGTTGTCGGAGGACATTCATCCAGAGTTGCAGAACTCATTTGGCATTTTCAAGAGAACATAACCATAATTACAGCATTCATTATGTGTGATTTTGTTAAAAGCTGTATAAAAGCGGCCTTAGTAATGTACTCATTGAACAAACTAACGTAGTTCATGAAATTGCATTGGGTACTTCACGATACTTTTTATACCTGGGATCAGAGCATGAAAAGTGGTAGAGATGGTTTTTTTTTGTGTATGATGTGCGCTGGATTAACAGAAGTATGGTGTTTCGTAAGAAGATCGGTTTAACGTTGTTTTCGAAACCCCAAGTTCACTGCCATTTATTCATCTTAGAACCTGAACTGCATGTCAGAAAATACTAATTACTTACTAAAAACAATGCGATTAAAAATCACTTGTGAAGGAAGCAAAGAAATTAAAAGATTTCTTGCAGAAGCTGTTCCTCAAGATCTCACTAACATTTAGAAAAGTAATTTTTTAAATGTCAATGGGGAAGATTCTTTTTGTAGTTCTTTGAGTTTTAAATAATCCTTATCATTTATTGTAGTGATTAGCTACACCTAAAAACATTCTGGAGTTTTAAGTGAAATCTGATTGTTAATCAAGTAAGTAACAAAGAAGAGGAATACAAATAGTTTAAGGTGGTGTTAATGATAATTTAAGAGCATTATTAAGATGTGAAGAACTTCTCAAGTCCCGAGCCAATCAGTTTTTAAAACATAATATAAAAAGAGAACAATCTACTTTGCACGTCTTTGTCACATGACTTGCTCAGGAATAGGGGCTGTTCCATCGCCATCTGTACCATCATTGCTTGGACTGACATTTTGTGGACTCTTCATTGCTTGAATGGGTCAGGGGCTTGCTTTATTTCCTAACATATTCAACAGAGGTGGTGTAGAGTGATATACAGTGTATCCCATGAGTCCAGAGCCATAGGAGAGCTGTATTATTTGGAAGATTACAAAAAAGTATAATGAGGGGGGAGGACATTCATCCAGAGTTGCAGAACTCATTTGGCATTTTCAAGAGAACATAACCATAATTACAGCATTCATTATGTGTGATTTTGTTAAAAGCTGTATAAAAGCGGCCTTAGTAATGTACTCATTGAACAAACTAACGTAGTTCATGAAATTGCATTGGGTACTTCACGATACTTTTTATACCTGGGATCAGAGCATGAAAAGTGGTAGAGATGGTTTTTTTTTGTGTATGATGTGCGCTGGATTAACAGAAGTATGGTGTTTCGTAAGAAGATCGGTTTAACGTTGTTTTCGAAACCCCAAGTTCACTGCCATTTATTCATCTTAGAACCTGAACTGCATGTCAGAAAATACTAATTACTTACTAAAAACAATGCGATTAAAAATCACTTGTGAAGGAAGCAAAGAAATTAAAAGATTTCTTGCAGAAGCTGTTCCTCAAGATCTCACTAACATTTAGAAAAGTAATTTTTTAAATGTCAATGGGGAAGATTCTTTTTGTAGTTCTTTGAGTTTTAAATAATCCTTATCATTTATTGTAGTGATTAGCTACACCTAAAAACATTCTGGAGTTTTAAGTGAAATCTGATTGTTAATCAAGTAAGTAACAAAGAAGAGGAATACAAATAGTTTAAGGTGGTGTTAATGATAATTTAAGAGCATTATTAAGATGTGAAGAACTTCTCAAGTCCCGAGCCAATCAGTTTTTAAAACATAATATAAAAAGAGAACAATCTACTTTGCACGTCTTTGTCACATGACTTGCTCAGGAATAGGGGCTGTTCCATCGCCATCTGTACCATCATTGCTTGGACTGACATTTTGTGGACTCTTCATTGCTTGAATGGGTCAGGGGCTTGCTTTATTTCCTAACATATTCAACAGAGGTGGTGTAGAGTGATATACAGTGTATCCCATGAGTCCAGAGCCATAGGAGAGCTGTATTATTTGGAAGATTACAAAAAAGTATAATGAGGGGAAAGGGTACTTGCGGGTTATCGGGACACATCGCTTTAAAAATAGGTTAGGTTAGGTTAATGTGTGTGGATAAATAACATATACTTGAAAGTTAATATATTTTATTTCAATAAATGACAACTAACCTAACCTATTTTTAAAGTGATGTGTCCCTATAACCCACAAGTACGGGGGAAAGGTTATTACAAATTATGTATTTTCATTATCAATGGTTGGAATTTTTTATCTAGGACAAGCCATTAATGACGCTATACTCTTTACATCGTCAGTAATAAAAAGTTACTGCAATATTGCCATCTTGATATGACAGATCGCTAGTTGCTGTTTTTCTAGTTTTTTGCATGTTGTGTTTCCTTCAATACCATGTTCCCCTACTCTGGAAACACATTTCCCATTCGCTGTTATGTTAACATGGCATCATTACTGTAACTTTAAGTATTAATGAAATATAGATTGTAGTGCCATAATGGCCCATCCTAGTTAAAAAATGCCTAACATTTGAGATTGGAAACACATGTCTTGTAACAGCTTTTCCTTCTACATTTTTCTGTCACCTCCTTGTCCCAAAAACAATTTTCCTGTGTTCCTGGACTCTTGGGACATTGTTTTTGTAAAACGGTTCTCGTTACCATTTCTATGCAGACGGTGCTTTGTTTAAGAACCTTGATTGCACAGTTTTTGAAGGAAGTGAGACTGCCTTAAACAGCTTGACTTTATCCTGCAAGTGTCTTGTACGCATGCCATCTCTGTTGAAGACAGCAGAATCTCAGACATAGACTTAATAATTTAACTGTTGGTTTTTGGCCAGTCATATCTCTTATTAATACACATGGGATATATTACTTTGTTTCCTTTACTTTCTTGTGTACCTTCACGTCAATGGAGAATATTAATATTACTAGCAGTGAGAATTCAATTGCAGGTTTATAGTTTTACCAAAGTATGATAATGTTTGAAAGCATATGGTTTAGTTTTATGTTTTTTAAGCATCCTGTGGCCCATGTGAATGAATGAGTTCACATATGAACATCATCCCTTAACATATTTTCTGTTTCTTAATGCGACATATTTTGTTTGCACATTTATTAATAACTGGCAACTAACGTGTAGAATTTAGGTAATATTTTAACCACTTTTCTTTTTTCGCTGCTTTGGCTGTCTTCTGTATCTGGCTTTTTTTGTAGAGTTAATATGTAAGGATGCCAGACATATTTGACATCAAAGCAACTTCAAATATGGCATGGAAACTTAACTGAAGCAGTGTCTGAATAACTTTTTAATTAAAACATTAGGAATAAGGTAATCATATTCTTGTTTCAGTCTGTAGTTTTAATTGAAATGTGTTAATTTGAATGTAAATGAGGTGTTTAATTAGCATGGAATTCTTCACTCTTATTTCTCAGCAAGAATAATTTGCGTTCTTGAAGCATTCAGAGGCAATTTCCTTATGTTACACATGAAACCTGAAAACTCTTGACAGCAATATGCAGTTCTTTTATCAACATTTTGTTACTTTTTAGTTGCTTGGTACAAAGACATGTTTGATATCTTTGGCAATATAATAAGCCAAGATACAGTGGACAGATGGGCACTTAATTTTTTGCAGAGAAGTGTGAATGTTACTCTGGGAGTTGTAATCCCCATTTTCCACCCATTATGTTACCCTGTAAAATGAGTCTGACACAATGAAGGCCTTATATGTAGTGCTTTTTTTTCCATAGTATAAAGATGTTATGTGTGCTATAATAAAAGGAAGAACATACATGGATTTTAGCACTGCCCCATCGATGTTGATCTGAAAAATTTCTGTTACTTTTTGTCTGTGTGTATAAAATCTGACACCTAAAGCTGTTATTGCAAGTCCACGGGTGTGAATAACGTGTATGGGCCAGTGCTAGAATGGTGGGGGTACTTATATTGGATCATTGGGATGTTTATTATCCCATCATAATTAGCATTCTTGTCTTCCAAGTGCTAAGAAGGTAGACTTTCAGAACACCAACTGAAGCACATTGGGCTGTTAATCGTAGAGCAGGTGCATATGAGGCAGTGTGTTTGTCTTGCTAATAAGTGTGCTTCCTGTATGTTTCAATCTTTGCGAAGGTCAGGTGACTAGATCCTGCTGTATGTGTAATCACACAAACATGTTCTTATTTTTTTTTTGTAGTTGTACACAATTGTAATAAAGTTTTGCAATAACTGTGGCAAAGATGAGGATAGAGAGAATTACATAATGAAGATCTTCATGATTTATGTTCCTCATCAAATAATATTGGGGTGGTAAAGTAAAGGTTGGGGTGTGTGTGGGATGGAAGGGTAGGGAGTGTTTGTTGCCATTTATGTTTGACTGCAGAGCGGTTTAAATCATGAAATTTTTAATAAGGTGGGTAGTTTTGTGCATCTTTAAAGCTTTATACGCTTTGTCTTTGAATACATTTCTTAATTGTTTGTAAAATAAATGAAATGAACTTACAAAATTAAATAATTCTCCAGTACAAAGCAAGGGCAGTGTGCAAATTCCCAGTCTACATATTTTAGGAAGGCTGCAAGAGCAGAGGAATTCAGATGATGTGTAATACAGTTACACATTAACTTCAGTGTGACTGTTCTCATGTTGTAGCATATCAGTTTATTAACTGTTATCCTTTCCATATAAGGATAATTTAAAAAAGAAACTTAGGTTTCCTCCTAACCTTGTGATGATCATAGTAGAATCTAAACATTATTGAAATGAAGTCAATCTCTTTAACGAAAAAGCATTAACGAGTGGAAGTGATAATTTCTGATTATACATACTATTCTGAAATTAATTAAACATTTTCTTAATTTTTTTATATTTTGGTGGTAGATTTTATGTGCTGTTTCTGGTAATTAGAATGTTTCATAGAGTCTTTCACTTAAAATGAAGAGTGCCCCATCTCCTTTGTGCATCTTCATCTGTCATGTGTTAGGCTCAGCTGAAGTATGATAATTTTTAGTGTATACATTGAACAGTGAATAATCAAACTAACATTCTACACATGTTGTATAAAATATATTGACACTTAATGCAATATTGCAAGAAAATCATTACAAATGATTAGAGGTTTTTTAATCTGTTTCTTTGCTTGTTAGTGTACAGTTCCATGAGTTGTTTTCATTTCTACATTCTTAATTTCTGAGGAATTTGGAAAATTTAATTATATTTTATGTTCAGGATCAAGAAATTACACCGTATAAAGGATTGCCATTTTTAATTTTGATTTTATTTACTTATTCTTGAAAGAATGAAGGGTTGGCAGTTCATGACCTGTGCATCTCTTTCTGTGTTGAACCTGCAGGTTCTGCTACCAGGGAGTTAGTTAGTTTAGTGGGGCCTTGTGGTATAGTCACTTGTTTTCAAAAAGTGTGATCCCAGCTGTAAGATCTTAACTCATCTAAGGCCTCAAGGTCACATAGAACATTTGAGGCTGTTTCTTCTGTGCTGTGACATTTGTCACAGGCTGGTCTGTTTACCAGTCCCAGTTTGAATAGGTGTCCTTTAAGTAACTCTCCTGTCATCCTGTTTAATCTCAATAGCCCCGTAGTTATTTTTGACAGAAAGTTCTTGAAGGAACCACTTCACAAATTTATGTCCAGGTGTGGACTTCCACATTCCTGGTCTTTCTGTAAATGCAGTTCCTGAGGCCCACTAGTAGCACTTTCTGAGATGCTGATTGCTGGTTCAGGTCCAATAAATGGATACTCAGCAAGATGTTTTTGTGTTCATATTTTGCTTTCCTATACAATAGAACTCCAGTCCATTTTTCAACTATTGCAAGTTGGTAGAGTTTAAAACATATATTGAAGCATTTGATAACTGTAAAAGGGTTAATCAGTACTCAAACTTTTTTTTATGGTTATGCTAAATGCAGCAATGCTGATAATATACAAACCAATATTCATTTTTGTTCCATGCAAGTATTATAGCTGGATGTATTAAAGGCTATTCATGTCTAGTGGTAGGTTTCTGGTTTGTCACTGAAGTAGGTTGACTTAGTTTTTTTTGCCAATGAAAGATTTATCAACTGTTGAGGTTATGTAATGTCATGCAATATTAGGTTGGATGTTTGTTAACAGTGAAGTGGAAGAGATTAAGTTGAGGTACTTGAAGTAATGATGATCTAAAGTAATTTCAGAATTGAGATGCTGCACAGAATACTTATTTTCCAGTTTTCCATCTGTGAGTCAAAGGTAGAGTTGGCAGTGATTTGTTGAATTCCTTTGGAAGGTAGGGGATAACATATATTTTACAAAGAAAATTGAATTAGTTTCTAGAATTGGTCATTATATTTGTCCAATATATCATGCTTTTCAAGTTAATGTTTTGTAAATAATAGTGTATACATAAAAGCTGCATGTAGCTGATAGTACCTTGAGAAGAATGTGTAGTATGGAACAGGTAAGATCATCTGTTGAAATGCTATGATTAAAATTTCTGGTCACATTTGTATCACTTATGTAACATTTACAAATATTTCCCTAGTTTATGTAAGCAGAGGTATTAATTGTAGACTGGGAAATTCTGATATTTCATGTTGTATGCAAAGTATTTTAGTAGGAGAGCATATTCATGATGTGGAATCTCACAGATTGGTTTCCGAATACAATAAACACATTGCCTCATGTGACTTATCTTCATAAGTCAAGATTTAACAAGCTGGATTACAGAAAGATTATAATATTCTCAGTTAGATGTTTGTTAGATCTCAAGATATGTAAAAAAATGTTAATGTACAGCCATTTTACAAATTATGAGGCTTTAACACAGCTATGTATGGAAGGACAATGATTAAGAGAATTAATGCTGATCAAGCAGCATGAGGGTTATATATGATGGTCACAAAATACAATAATTTGGAAAAGGCTTAAAATCTCCTTGCTGCCTTGTGGGTGTGATGCGTGTTGTCATTTAGTAATGTTTCCTTAGACAACCTTCCCTCCTTTTGAATGGCTACTTAGATGCACATGAAGTATAATTCTAACAAAGGACTTTAATCAGTAGTAACTATTACCATTAATATAATTCCATGATAATAATTAGAAGGAACTTGCAAAAATAAAAGGACTTTCATTTTAAAAAGTCTGAAAACATCTGGAACAATCATTTGCATAATTAGTTCTTTCAAGCATTCTGCTATAATTTTGTATTATTTTTCAAATAATGGAGTTTACATGCAGTATATTCATATTGTCTAAGTATAACATTTAAACTTGGTATGCATGTAATCAGAGCCAGAAGATCACCAAGTTTAGTATTTTTCCAGCTGTTATTAGTCCTAATTCAGTGTGCTGATTGGAATGATTGCTTATGTATAAGTTATGACTAGTGTACAGTTTGTTTCACCATTATTGTGTGTTTTTACATGCAAATGGTGTTATGATCAGAAGACTAGCATGATAAAACAGTTATCTGATTTTTAATTGAAGTTGGGTACTGCTGGATTGATCCAGGTGTTTGTGGTTATGTGCATTGTATGTAGCTTACCGTCCTTGCCATTTGAATGTACCAAGGTTTGCATTTCCCTATGCTCTCAAGTCCATCCTTTATAGTTGGATTTGAATTTTGAACACACAAACATTGACAGATTCAAGAGAAGACTTGCGAGCTTATTTAAAATTAATGATCACCATTGTGTGATAATTCATTGTCTTGGCGCCATTAGTACATACATATATCTGAAAGTTTGATGTCCTTCCCAGCACACCTGTATGCTTGCAGAGCTTGGACCATTAATGTCGATAGACTTACATTACACTTAATATTGTAAGACTAAAGCCAAAAGCAGATGATACTTGTAAAATTTTTCTAAAGTCAACGAATATAAATTTATTTTGAACTAGATACCTGAACACATTTTTATATATATTTTTTTTTGTAAAATACTTTTACAGTAATGGGTGATTTAATATACGTCCTTAGAATACTGAAAGGATATTATTCTTAATTTTAAAATGTATAAATTTCATTTTATTGGTTCTTTTTATTGCTATTTTATGTGTGAAACAAGACTCAGTCTGTCAGATATCATGGTCCAAGAGCTTATACCCATTTTCACCTTTTAAAATGCTGTAAGATGTAATTTTATGGAACAGCCCACAATTAACTTTTCTTATTATATATATGGCAGCACATTTTATACACATGTAGAGGAATTTAAATGAAAATTAAGTAAAAAAAAAATATTGTGCCTAGTTGTGGTTTCAGATATTGTAGTGAGACCACATACTTGAGTGGATGGTCAGTAGAAAAGAAAGATTAAAAATAATCACTGGATACTTTCTAAAATATCATAGTAATGGAGTTGATGGATAATATACAAATAAAACTTAAGTTTCTAATGCCAGTTGTACATTAATTTATTACTTCCTTTCTGTTGGAGTGGTTGAGTCAAACTGTGTCTAGCAACTTCAGGTAAGATATAACAAATATGTGAGGTGTGAGAAATCACTGTCAATTTCACTTGTCTTATCCACAGCAAATGGAACTTTTTTTCCCTGTATGTTCTGTTTATGAATATATTTTTCTAGTTAAAGAAAGAAATGCCAGCAAGTGATGGTTTAATTCTGTTAATTAAGCTTACAGTTGTGGTTAGTTGATACGGATAATAAGTGCAGGCTTTCTTTTTGTGATATATTGCTTATAATTATCAGAAGCTCATATATCCCTTATTACTCTATACAAAATCTCATGAGCTTCTAGAAATGTAGAAAGCATAGAAGGAAGTATGTGGATTAACAGCTTACACTGTCTTGTTCCTTCTAATACTTTGCATACTTTGAAATCTCATATGCCAAAATATTTTTTCATATAATTTGTAAATGACTATCAACTTAACCTATTTACCAGGTCCTCTTTATGTACATCTGTCATTTTTACCAGTGTGTTGCACCAAAATACGAAAATTATGGAATACTGAATGATAGAAGGAACAGCAGGATTTAAGGAATAGGAAACAAATGGATTACCGTCTCAAATTGTAAATGAAGTATGTCGCATCACATTATACAAACATCATTCCCATCATAAGCACACACTTCAAATATTTGTCTCAAATAGGTTATGAATATATCTTATTTCAGTATAATGCAATACATATAGTTTCTCATATTTAATACTTCTCATGTATGCAGGATACTGTACTGTATTTTCACTTTATAAAATAATATTCTAATTCTATAGTCCATTTAAATTACATTGTTTCACAATGTATTGTGCAGCTCATCTTTTTCCATGTTCAATTTTGCCTGTACCTTATAGTAGGACTTGGCTTCACAGTAAGTAATCCACACTGCTATTAAACTTTGAGCAACAGCAATTGAAAACAGAGTACTACCAATAGGTTTAATTAATTTTCTCCATACAGCAAACACTCCTTTGGGATCTTCCGAAAACAGTGGCAATTTGTATGAGTTGTAATATGATGCTAGCTGAAAGAAAGAAAGAAAATATTAATAGTTCTAACAGCATTATATTTTTTAAGGTATCATAAAATCTCATTTATTCTTTGGCCTCTTCCAGTTGAAGGGTATTACACATCTTACTTAAGACAGGAGATAGGACTGTCAAACACAGATTATTCCATCCTAAGACCTCCCTTAACAGGCCAACAAAGAAATATATGCACCAACATTCATGGTCAAAAGAAGGCAAACTTAAGATCCAAAATTGCAGGAGGCAAAGACTGCATTCAAGTGTAATGTGAGAAATTTAATGAATAATATTAATTGTTGGGTCTGGAAGTTACCTATCTTGGTTACATCATACATTGAACTAGTTAGACTTTTAATCCAAAGTGTATTTGGATTATAACCTAACAAGTTCAGCTACAAGTCCAAAAAGAGAAAATCATGGATGATAATGAACTTTAAAACTCACGAAATGCAATCCAGTAGCAGAAATAACAACTTCTACAGGTAAGGCGGTTAAACAATATGGTACATGCCTAAGATATGTCATGAAATATGCATATGCCATTACCGGGGACACAAATGGTTATTATTATTATTATTATTATTGAGTGTTCTGTTTGACGACAGGTCCATTGTTCTGCCCAAAAAGAGCTCGCCAGTTTTCCCTATTCTCAGCTTCTCGTTTTAACTCCTGAAACTTCATCTTCTTTCCTTGTTTAAGATCGTCGGTTAGCTGTATCATACATGAAACAAATTCTTTTGTATTATTATTGTTTATATTTTGAAGTTATTTAGCAATTCTGTATGAATAGAAAATGAAGAGAATGTAGCCTACTTCAGTACTATCTACCAGACTGTGGAAATTCAAAAACAACCTCACTGGGAAGAACTATGCCCTGGCTGATAATCAAACCATAAAGCTGTCCCACTATATGCCATGTAGGTGCTTGGGGGGAGTGGAGGTATAGCTCCTACTCAGATAATCAAACCATATATCTCCCAAATATAAGTTAGATGTGTATGTGTGTATGGATTGGTAAAGACAAGAAGGATGGCAGTGCGAAGACAATGGTCTATCAAAGAAGAACGTAGGATGAATGAACATAATAATACAAATTCCTCTATCAGGTACAAAAATACTCACAGCAAAACCTGCCAGTGGACTTAACAACGATGGATATATTACAGAAAAGCCAACTTGGAGGGCTGTAGCACGTAACTCAATGCACAATGGACAGACTGTCTTCTGTAGTATAATATCAGAAGACACTGCCTGCAAAAATAGTAACATCCATCATACTTACATATAATGAAATACAAGGAAAGAAAGTGACTGTACTGGACAATTGTCCTAGTGAACAGACTAATGAAAAATTAAAACCACAAACATCTGAATATTACCTTAATGTGGTTGTAAAATATGCCTTTATAAAGGCTAAGGTAGAAATTGATTAAATGTGACAATAACTCATAGTATATCACTGAATTACCACTTACTGGCACACTGAGAATCTTCAAAATTACTTACATGTAAGGACAAAAGGGCAGAATTATTAACTATGAACAAACAATGAGGCTAATTAAAAATGAACAGAAGTGGAACATTTTTGTTCTATGATAGCAAACACTGATAAGGCATGGTTACACAGGAGCTCAAGGTCAGACAGTGACATGCTATGAGTGTGGTTCGCCTGAAATCCATTTGTGCTGCACGAGTGTGATGTAATTTGACTGGTACACCAGAGAATAGATGGGTATACTAGCAAGTACAGAACATATCATGAAGTTCATCAGATAAAAAAATTATATTGAATTTTATAAGCATGGTATATAATAATGAACAGTTTTACAACAAATTATACTGTACCTCTTGATGAAATAATGCTGTCATAATTGTAGGAAGTACTACAATAGGAAGATAACTGGACAGCCTGCCATAAGAGTGAAGTCTCAATCTATTTCTGAAATGGCCATTGATGTACACGCCTGACAATGCACTGCAAGAACCTAGAATTGCATAACCATAGTGAAATGGCCACCTACAGGAAAAAAAATTTTTTCTCAGTATACAAGTAACACATTTTAAACATGCATACACACATTACACAGGAAGAAACTAAATCTTTCTAATGTAAATACACACATTATTTTGGGTTCATTTTATCAGTTATAGCAGTCTGTTCCACATAATTATTTGATGTGTTATTTTTATGAAAATCCTGGGCACTCCAGGTCTTAAACCAGATTTGTGAACTGTCATTAGTCTGAAGGCATATGAGAATTTGAATTCAGAGGTTCTTGTTGGATGCAACAAAATGGACCATAAGGAAAACTGATGTCAAAAGATCAAGATCAGCAAGAAAACATTTCATGAGATGGTTACACTAATTTCAAGCATAAAAATTCAATAATGAAATTTCCATTTCACCAACAACACATTTTATGCTTTATAAACAGGGCTGCTTTATTGCAGTGGTGGGAACTGAGCACAGTATGACCTTGGAGACTCCTCTCTATTAATTTCTCTTGAAAGAAGAAAACACTTTACAATTTCATACAAACACGAAAATTACTTATATTAACAAAATTAAAATGGATAGGAAAAGATTAAAAACACAATTCAAAAATTATTTTAATTATTTTTTCTAAACACTTAATAATTTACAGATATAAACTAAAAGTATGAAATACCAGACATATCAATATAAAGAGAAGCATGTTCTGTATGTGTATCCTGCCAAGTTCTGAATTACTTTCACTGTGACATATGTAATGATTATGTATGTGTAATCACATTACAAAATTCAAACTTCTGAAAGTGCTTACACATCTCTTTCTGGTTTCCATCCATATATGACTCTAAACTGGTACTCTCTTGCCTCTTTTTCACTTAAGTGTATTGCCCCTTGTGGCATATCACTATATACTCCTTTTTGCAATGCCATACTGATTTCAAAAGTGGAACGATGCAGTTTCTGAAATAAATTGTTTAATTAAAACCAAAGTATCTGTTTAAATTGAAAGTAATTCAACATAACCTTACATAAAACATTATTTCTTTATCTGATATATTTACACAACAAAACCACAATTAGTAATTTAGCATTAATAATAGCCATTACACACAAGCATTTATATTATTCATTTTATTAAAACAACACAAGTACACCTACCACACGTCAATTTACTAACATAACTTTGAACTAGGTTTACTTACCGAGTATAATATGGCGACAGGCACATAACTTACAAACATTGTAATCCAAAATTACATCCTCCATGGCGTACTAGACATCTTGTGACGGCGCTAAATGCCATTGACCAATCACATCAGTCGTCAGTCGGAATCCCGACTGCGAGAGTTGTGGGCGCCATATTGTGTGGGTTTACATGTTTATGTTGAGCAGTGCTGCGGTTTAAATGTTGTTATATCCCCTTTTACCTTACGTATAAAATTGGTAAATTGATTGTAAGGGGCGTGTCACCAAAACTCTTCGTCATAGTACAGCGTGAAGTTTTGGAAGTGTTGTGTCAGTTAATTTTCCAAGTTTGTTCTGATAGGAGTAGAGAGACGACCCCAGACAGGAATCTTTACTAGAAGAAGACGGTTTTCGGAAGTGATCAAGAATGCCTGTTCGTAAACAAGGTGGTAAGATCAAATTACCTAGAGCTAGATGTTGGTTGATTGTTGTTTTAATAGTGTTTCATGGTTTCTTTTGCAAGGTTTGGGAGTGGCTCAGCTCGTTTGTGTCATTTGGTTTGAACTGTCACGGACGTTTCTTGATGGGTTATAATAGTGAATTGTTCCCGCTTTGCTGTTCTATTTCTGTTTCATGACATGCTAGACGATATCTTCAGTGTTCTTAATAATCACACATTAATTTCTAGGTTAGAAGTGCATTGCTTACATAACATGAATGTTTACAATTCTAGAAGACTTTAGAGTTTTATTTTGTAAGCTTCAGTATTAATGGCCGGCATATATAATATTAATAATCTACTAGTAGGCAACTTAATTACCCCATTTCAAGACAATAACCAGAAAGTGTCTCAACTATATATACTATGAGGTTCTCACCTTTAACAGTTCTATCTGTACCACTATTCAGCCAACATATCAGCCCATGAAGATCCTGCCAGATGTCTAGACGTCACTGTCTGAGGTTCTGTTCTTTGAAGCTTCATCAAATCTTCTCCATTCTGCAAAGATCCTGCTTGGTATCTCTTCCAGAAGTTTTGGTTTGTGAAGCTTCCTCAGTCTTCTTCATGGCTTCCTCATCATAATCTTCCTTGGAGTCATTCCAAAATTTGTGGAGATGCATAGATAGTTATATAATTCAAATATTATTTTTCTTGGTACTCCGCCCCCAGTGTTAGAGTTTATATTACGTTCTAAATATGTAATTTTGTTCAGTTTTTACTGTGTTTTCTGAACTTGTGAAATTGTTAGAAATATGTATATGCTTAATTCAGAATTTATATTGGATTCTGAATGTTGTGCTTGTTTCATAATTTTTATTCCAGCCTAGTAGTAACATTTTGTTGTAGACGTTCCTGATGCATGAATGTTAGAAAAGTTGTAGTATTTTCTTGTGTGTAATGTTTCAGTTTTTGAATGCTGTTGAAATTTATAATAAAATCCTCTTTCTTTAATCTGTACTTGAATTATGTTGTGAGATTGTGTGTTTGGTACTTTAAATGGCTTTGCAGAGTTTCTGTGCTGAAGCTACCAGTGACTTTTCTATTATATAATCAAAAAACAACCTTTAATAAAGTGAGAATTTTGTATTGAAAGCGTGAAAAATAGAACTTGCAGTTGAAAATAATAGATGGTTGATAACTGTATGTTGTTTGGATTTCTTGGATGTAGCACTTTGCAGATTGGAAGTAGATTTACAGTGTTGTAATTTAAATTTCAGTTTCCATCTTTAGACATTCAGTTTTTAATCTAGAAGCATTAAGCACTCTTTAATTATTGTAAATATTTCTGTTTCACATTAGTATGGCCTAATAAGTATGTCATGCTGTTGTTGAAATCTCAAATTTAGTGCTAGTTTCAGGTACAGGAAGGATATTTGGAAGCTGAATTGTGGCATGACCTTTTAGCTATGTGTGAAACTGCATTGATAGTTGTGCATCACTGCAGATCACCAGTGGTGATGAGGAAGTTATATTGTACTTCCTTATGATATTTGTATATAACTTAGTATCGTCCAACATTCGTTTATGTTGGGCATGGATGAGTTTACACCAGGGGTCATTGAGTGTTATCATATGGATTATTATGTGAAGTATAAGTCTGTTAGGATGTGACAAAAAAAAATTCAGTAGAAAGTTTCTTTGGTTTCAAGTTACCCAATATTTTCAATAAAACAAAAACAACTAGCCTGTTAATATACAGAAAAAAACAAGCTGTCAAGTGTTAAGTATGTAGCTGTAGAATGGATGTAGTAGATACACATATTTTATGTAGGTAATATTAATATAGAGTATTTTTTGTATGCTGTATATGAATTTAAGTTAGTATAAATGGCAAACTGAAATGTGTTAGTCAGTGTGGGTGTTGAATTCATTTGTGTATGTGACATTAACAGAGACCCATATGTGCTGAATGATGAATGCAGAAATGTTGCTTACATGGTGAGATAAAGCCTTTGAAGTATGCTGTAGGTACTTGACATATAGTGTGTATTCAGCTTGATACGTAGTAGGGTGAATGGTTTGCCGTAAATACCTGGTCTATTTTCAAAGATTTTTTGCATGCAAAACATTGTGTATGGTAGCCTTTACTAAAAACTCTTGAAAAAGTTATTTTTATTGCATCATTATCCAGTATGTCCAGTTGTCAACAAATATTCACTTTTCCCACATAATTTTTGCCATGTGTTTGTTGTTTATTAACAATGAAAATGGATATGCACTGTTTATTCCATTTAAATATAAAATTATTTTGATCTTCTTAAAAGTAGACAGACTAAATCCATGTGTGAATGTCAACAATGATCTTGAGAGTTGCATATGCATTGGAAATAGTCAAAATGTGATTAGTGGTACAAATATGGAAGCAGACCAGACCCCACCAAGAATAATACACTTAACTCTGAAAAGTGTTATCATCCACTTTCATATCTGAGATTTGATGGTGAATGGTCTTTTGAGTTGTAACAGTATGTAGTTTTGTAGGTGATTACCAGCATTTCATATCACCTACATCTTCAAGTTTGAACTACCTTCAACCCTGAAGATGGAGGTATACATTCTCCTGAAGCAATGGTAACAACCACAAAATTACATATTAAAACAAACCAGAAGGGAAATGACATTTTCTTGCATGTTTTTTTATTAATCAATCGGTTAATTTGATGTATAACATACAAAATCAGTCTCTGGAACTCACTCTGTGGACTAATTAGAGAGAAGTAGAAAAGTGCTATGGGATTTAACCGTGCATCATGTTTGCTACTTTAGTTGGTTTAAAATGGATTATGTGTACAGGTACCCTGCAAAATGAAAATTAACGTTAGATATTTTTGGGGGGAGATTAGGCCTATTTACGGTCAGAAATATGTAGATTACAGATTTACTTGTTTATTTATGTTAAAATGTTGCTGTAAATTAATACTACTATGAATCCAAAGACCTAACTAAACTGATGCTGGTTGTGTAGGCATTTACCTTACGGTACTTTGTGCTTTATAAATCAACATGTGGAACTGTGTTTGTCCTGGGGACAAGTATAGGTGACTAAATGTCTTGGATGAGTAGTTAGTGCTCTTGTTTTGTATTGAAGAGGCCTCGGGTTTGAATCTTGGCATGGTGGTTGGCTACAGTGATTGAGATCTGTCATGATTTTTCTCAGTCCATCGAGGCAGGTGCAGTGATAGTAACTTAAAATTAGGCCGCAACGACTTCCTTCTGTATCCTTTCCAATTATTTTTTTATAAATAATAACATAATTCAATAGTGTGTAGATGGAACTACTGATAGCATAATTAAAGAAACCGTTTATAAAATAAAAAATTAACATCTATAGGTAGTCTGAATTCTTAAAATTAATGATACATATTTAAATCACATTAATGAGAAATCAGTTTGTTTTTATTTGCACTCCTTGCTCAGAATGATGATTTATCAGACAGGAGTGACATTTAACTAAATTTAATTTCCTTCTAGTTAAATATGTTACAGCTAAACAGTGGAAATTTAAATTATCTGCTTAGGATTCTACCTATCAGAAGTAATTATGTGTTGTCATTTATATTTATAAGGTTGAGGGTAATATGGTAGATAGTGGAAAACTTTTGAATTATAATATAATTTTAAAATAATTCCATGCATCATGTACTGACTTGATTTCTATGAATTATACACGTTTTTATTTAATGGTGGCATGCATACACACACACAAAACCTGAGTCTGAAATTTTGGATTTGAAACCAATGATTTCACTGAATTTTGTATTGTTGATGGTTTGCATTCTTGCTCTGTATTTTGAGAGGTCTCACTTTTGTATCTCAGGCATCACACCAGGTATCCTGACAGGAGTCTTGTGGTTTTCCAGAGTTGTCATTCCAGGCTCATACTGATTAGTATTGTTACACAGGCCACAACTGCTCCTTCCACATCCTTCACAATCTGGTATTCACATCTGTCTTGCGATTTAACATTATATAACCTATGCAACTGATAAATGTTGTTACAGAAATCTAGAAACAAACACAAGACTGTGGAAAAAAAATTGTCTTTATATTTAGAATGAATACAGTATCAGAAGAAACATTTTTGATCATGTGATTGAGAACCACTTTAGAAAATCAGAACTTTTTCCGTCTGCTACATAGCGTTCGTAATGCTTATACCATAGCCTAATATGACTTATATTTCAAATATAAAGCAGTACTTATAATTTATATTTGTCAGAGGTGGTTTTAATATTAAGTTCATTGTCTTATGCCAGTATGTTTAAATCTGTAAATTGTTGTAACCAAGTTCATTTTTATGGTGGTAACACTGTGGTATTTGAAGGTAACTGGTTCAAATATTGAATGTACTATCCTGAGTGACTTTTTTGTGGGTTATTTAAGTCTGTCTATAGGCCTTGAAAGAGGCCACAACCATGTCTTTCCAAATCCTTGCCTACTCATCATTCAGTCATTTTTGCAGCTTACTTGGCGCTGTGTAACATTAAGAATCATCACAGTGCTATTATTTGCATGTAGCCTACCTAACCCAAGAGTCAAATCAATGAACTTATTACATACAGTTGTAAGGACCAAAATTCATTTTATGAATCTTAACTGCTAGATTCACATAATTGACTGATTTTTAAGATATGGGTACTTTTGATTATTGTTCCAATTGTATTTGTTATTTATGTCCAGAAAAATTTGTGGAAATAGTCTTGCCTAGATCTTTTAAAAATCCCATCAGTTAAAAGTACTGCGAATCTGATAATATTTTATGGAAATTGCTGTCTCTTTGTTTTTAAGGTTAGAATCAGCCCTGATTTTAGGAGTATGTTGGTCCATTTCCTGGCCAATCGGTTTTTTCCCCCCCCAACACACACACACACAATTAATCGGGATATCTCAGTCTTCAAAGTGACTGTCTGTGGATTGGACAGTCAAGGTTTTATTCCTTGCAGTGCTGTGTATCCTTCCTGTTTTGGGGCCTACCCAAATTCCTATCCTGGCATACCAAAGCTCCTTTTTTGGATGTAAAAGCTGCTGGAGAATAAAACTGATCCTTTAGCAACCTGTGTTTAGGTTAAAAATATGTGGAGATTTACCTTTGTTCCCTCACATGTCTTCATGGTATAGTGCTTGGGCACTGGGATGGTTTTATGTATGCCTTCTTTATTTTGTTTGTTATCATTTTTTATGCCAGTGTATGTGGACTCTGCTCCATGCAGTAGGTCACTTATTGCTGTTCATATTAAAATGAACTTTATAACAGAAACTGAGAATGATTTTCTTCAAGAACTGTATTTTCAGTTTGACCTTTTCCTCATCCTCCCTGTGTAAATTATTTAACATCAGATGGAAAATGAAGAATGGATGGTAATTTTGTAAAATTTGTGGAAGGAAATGATTGTTGCTTGTTCTGTCCCTATGTAGCAGAACATAGTAAAATTATAATGGCACTCCCTCTACTGACATGAAAAACCAGAAAAAACATATCTTATTTAAAATGAAAATATGTAAAAAAGAATTGGGTTCGTAACACTTTCTGGAACGAGCAATGGATTGAGGCACAATCCCAGCGTTT